GAATAATCCAGGATGGCAGTGGCTTGGACAAGGTGCCAGAGACATGAAAGAAGTTAATACATTTGAGACTTAGGAGATAGAATAGACAGGATCTTCTCACTAGATGTGGGAGATAAGAGGTAGGAAGTCAAGGTTGACTCCCAGATTTTGAGCTTAGACAGTTTCATGGACAGTAATGACATTCACTGAGATACAGAAAACACTGGAGGAGAGAGAATTAGTCCAAGGGGGGCAGGAGAGATTAGGATCAGCTCCGGGAGAGGTGCCTGAGAGAAACCACAGAGGAGATGGTCAGTGGGTAGTTGGGTCTAAAGCTCAGAAGAGAAGTCTTCCTAGCTAGTAATTTCCGGTGAGTGAGCCACAATCCTAAGAGAGATGAGATGAGGGAGTGTGGATGGCTTATTAAAGTCCCTCCCTACGAATAGAAAAGCTCCTCAAAGCCGTAGTCGGCTAAGTTGTGTTTTCTCAAGGACTTATGCACACAGAGGTCCCTCAGAAACAGTGAGAGTAGGGTAGAGAAATGAGAAACCTTCTCTAGTCCACCTTCCAATTATTGCCTTTTGGTTGATTGTTTCCAGTCATTCGCCAAGATAGAGTATTAATTAAGTCTCTGTCTCTGTCTCTCTCCATTGCAAATGACAGAAAGCCCAGTCTAAATCACTAAGCCAAAGAGTGAATAAGGGACTTTATCGGATCATGAAGCAGGGCCCTCCAGGTTTTGGCTTCAGACATAGCAGGATAGCCTCTGGATTACGTTTTTGTCTCTCCATCCATCAGCTCTGTTTCTGCTGTGTTTTGATATTGTTCTCAGAAGGGCTCATCCCTTATTATCCCACAATGGATAGTCCTGCCAGCATCACCCAGGACTATATTAATAACAGATTCCATCCCGGGAGAACAACAGACTTTGTCCCAGCATTCCCAGCAGAAGCCTTAAGAATCATTATGATTGAAGCAGCTTAAGTCGCATGTGACCAGGAAATATGATTTGGCATACTCTGGGGATCTGGCATGGGAGTGGGTCTGGATCCTCACACAAACCACAGGAACCGAAAGTGAGACAAATGGGTTGCCCCTGAAAACCAGAGTCCCCATCCCGTGATCCCATCCTCCCATGATCACATAGCTGAGGCCACTGTGTTTTGGAGTTAGCAGGAAATTACTGCAGGTGAAGGCGTCTGATGTCTTCTGGTGCATATCGGACCCAGGCTGGATTCTGGCTCTTGTGGGGTCCCTGATTGAACCATGGACAGCAGGGTCTACAGTCTTTGTCCATCATCTGCCCCAGTTTGACCCCAACGTCATTGTCCAGGTAAGAAGACAAACTTTCCAGAATCAACAAACTCCCAGAAGAAACTCATGTTTCAAGCTCAAAAGCTGGACCTTGCTGAGAAATATTTTATTTAGCAAAGAAGCCAGTGAGCATAATATAACCCTGGTTCTGGGTTTCTCAAAGTGTGAAGAACTGAATCAATCATTGTATCAGAATCACATCAGGATGTAACCATGAAGAAAACACACATTTCCAAGCCCTTCCCCAGACCTATGGATCAAATTTTGTGGACTTGGGACCCAGAATATGCATTTTGAGAAATTAAAGCAACCAGAACAAGCTCAGCTCTCCTGGCTCCACCAGGGCCAGGCAGCTGGCGTGTGTGTGTGTGTGTGTGTGTGTGTGTGTGTGTGTGTGGCTACTCAATTTAATGAAGTGTTTACAAACAGAGCCCTTGGAATATGACAGATCCAGTTTCTTATCCCATGTTTGACATTTATCAGTGGTTTACTTGCCACTCTGAGCCTCAGTTTCCTTATCTGTAAAATGGGAGTTTTGGTTAATAGTTACTACCTCATCAAATTGTTGGGAATATTGATGAGATGATACAGGCAAAGTGTGTAAAGTGCTTAGCCCTGAGGCTGGCACATAGAAAATACTCAATAAGCGGTAGCAGTAGCTGTTATCGCTATGCAAGCATCATGATGATAATTGAGGTCACCTGCATGAACTTCTTCAGCGTACTTCCCTTCACCTGAAAATTCTCCTTGCCTCTCCACTCGCACCCTTGCTCAGAGGCAGACTTGCCCTTCCATCTCTCAAAGTTCACCCACCTCCCCACAACCAATGGGGACTCTGTTCTTTTCCCTGCCCTTCTGTTAGGAGGCCCTCTCTATTAGACTTTAATCTATTAAATCTTTTCTCCCATATTTTCAATCTCTCACTTTTCATTAACTCTACTCCCTTAGTCTATAAACATGTTCAAAGTTTCCCATCCTAAAAATACCTTCCCTTCATCCTGGTACAGATGGGACCAACCTGTCTTTCCTCCCTTAATATCAAACTTCTCCATAGAACATTCTCCACTTGCTGCAGCCACTTCCTCTTCACCCAGCTTACTCTGGAACATTGCAGTCCTCCGAGGGTCTGCTCTCACCATTCCTCTCCCTCCTAAGCAATCTCCTCCACGTCCATTTCTCCAGCAAGCACATCAATTCAGGTGGCTCTCAAAACGGCACCTTGGGTCTAGTCTTCTCTCTCCATGTGAATTCTCCCATGTTGATCTGGTGGGTCAAGTCCATCTGATCGTCCCTGCAGCACCTCAAACTGCACTTCCCATTTCTCCTTCCTGCCCCCATATCAATACCCGCCTCTCCGTCATTATTTACTG